CCAGGGGCAAGCGGCCCCGCTCGCCCCTCACTGTTTCCTTCCCCCCCACCCACCACCCACCCACCTGGCTCTCTCCCCACCCCCCAGGCTCCGAACCTACCTCTCTCTCTCTCTCTCTCTCTTCCGGCTCCGAACCGAGGGCCGATCAGCTCGCCACTCGGCCCTCGCCGCTCTGGCCCTCCCTCCCTGCTCGCCGCTTCCCTCCCAAGTGGCAGCAGCAGTTACAGAGCGTCCCCTGCGCATGCGCAGGGGACGCTCTGTGACTTTCGGGGGGATTTAAACATCCCCCCGAAAATTTTTTAAAGGTTTAGCATTTTTGTGCACACGTAGGGACTGGCCCACGTGTGCACAAACCTCCCCCGGCCCCCCAGCTGCCCCTGGAGCGCTGATTTAGCGATCCGCACTCCAGGGGCAACTTCGCTATTAGATATATAGATAAGTTAGCCAGGAATGTGTACCCTATCAAGGAGACAGTTAGCCACTGTCAGGAGGTGATTCTAAAATCCTATAAATATTGATCAATAGCTTCTTATCAGAAGGGGCTTCTTGCCTGAGATCTGCTTACTTTAGGGATAAGAAATTCGTATGGACTCATGTAATTGCTCTCCTTTAATTATCTACATAACAGTGAAGGGTGGATGGTATAATGCTTTGTTGATTTAGATTATATTAAGAATGCAATAATTATGCTTTAATAAAACAAGCTTAGACTCTAAGCAAAGACTCTCTAATGGTCTTTCCTTGTGTACTATACCCAGAACAAACCTGTAGCACTACTGAGGTGTACCTCTGGCCAGCAGAAAAATGATCTGGCATAGGAAAGCTAACTAGACACCTAGAATTTCTTAAGTGCACACCTGTACCTGAATTAGGCCTTACCAGAGTAATCCAGAACAGCAGTGAATAGCATTGTGTGCTCTGGGTGATAGGTGAAGGCATGGAGGAGAATACCTTGATGAGAGTGATTTCAGTCAAGTAGTCTGCATCAAAACAAGACTGTAAAAATTAAGAGAGCTGGAGGAGAAAAATGAAAGATGTGGGATACAAACTACCTCTATAGATGTGTGAAAGTGAAGAGAAGAAGGGGGAAAGGGCACTAACAGGAAGGAGAGCTGGTGTCAAGGAAAGACTTCTAATATGATTAATATGCTTACTTACAGCCAGGGGGCATTTCATAGAAAAAGAGGTGCATGAGCTTATTAGCATAACTTATTTGCATATGCCACACCCCCTGACATCACCAGAAGTGTGTCAGAAGGCAACACCCACCGCTCAGGCTCCACTGGATTGCTAGCTATTGAGGGGGGGGGACGTGCAGATCTGTCCTCGCAGAGGAGGGAGACCTTGTACCTAAATAAAACTTGGTCTTAAAGTTGCCACTGGACTGTTTTGGATTGCTAGCTATGGGGGGGACGCGCAGATCTGCCCTCACAGAGGAGGGAGAGGTTGTACATGAAGGCGGGCTGGGGGGGGGGGCTCTGCAACTTACCTGGCTGCTTCTTGCTCTTTGTGGCCCAACTGAGGGCTGCTGGGAGCAGGGGGCGGGGCTTGTTGCATGTGCCCGCCCCCTGGGCTCCTTACTGTCGGAGCTCCGCTCCTGTGCGCTTCCACAGGAAATGACCCCTGCACAGCAATGGTGGACTCAGAGGGTAGAGAAAGAATAAGGGAGAGAAGTGGGGAAGGTGGAAACAGAAATGGGAAAATATAGGAGCGAGGGAGGAGGTCATATAATCGGAGCTAGAAAGTGTGGAAACAAAACAAGATAGAAAATATGTTGGAATGCTGTTACTGTAATTGATCTTAATTTAACAGAAACCTCACACTTCAGCTGCCTCTTGGGATGTCTGTAATGTATGGCACATGAATTTGGAAGCTCTTCCAGACTGGGTGACACAAGCAATTACAAAGGTATTGTATTCAGGACTCCTTTGATTATCTGTAATAGTGACAGCATCCAAACGTTGTTTATATGCCCTGCATAATGGGAAAAAATAGGACTTGATAATGTACACCAGTATTATTTCATGTTTTATAGTTGCTTAAAGTAGAAAGGTGCCTTTTGAAATGTTTGTAATAAATGAATCAGAAACCTCTTCTTGCCACATTAGTCATAAAGAATTTCTGAAAAAAGTACTACTTAATACTGCAATCCTGAACAGTTAGACTGTTTAAATCCTATTATTTGGAATATTATTTGGAGGTTACTGCTGTAGTTTTCGGTACTGCTTTAATGGGGCATGCAGTATTTAGCACGTCTGAAGTAGAATTACTTAGGAATATTGAGGAACAATTTAATTTAGTTACATTAGGAAAATACCATTTCTTTAGAGATGTCAAATTACTTAGCTTAAGCAACTTTAAAAATACATTTTGTTTCATTAACAAAATGATGTTTTAACACATTTATGCTATTTTGTGGAGGAAAGGATTTACATAATAGTTTCTTATCTTCAGTGTTACAAAGATTTCATTGTTTGTCTCTTTTCTCATTACCCATAGGCAGAGCGGACAACTGGAAAATTGAACTGCCCATTCTGTGGGGCCCATCTGGGGGGCTTTAACTTTGTCCATAATACAAAATGCTCCTGTGGCCGGTTTACAAATATACATCTCTGGAAGAGGCAAACTGACTGCCAGACATCTAGTCCAGTTGCACTAAAACACTTGTCACTTTGTAAAGCTCAGCCTGGGTTTAACATGGAAATGTGGCAGTGTGTGACAGGTGGAACTTTGGGAGGCAGAAATCAAGGACTTTCATCCATAGCCAAAAATAACTCCAGCATTGGAAGATTAATGGAGGCACTTTGCCTAGAGGTGAGATCAACCAGTTTTGAGATGAACAGTAAAAAATTACACTTCAAAGTGTCTTATCCAAGAACAAGTCTTTCAGCTTCACTGGCTGTGAATGACAGATGCACTGTAAGAGCTTTTCATAGAAAATCACGGAGTTTGGATCTGAACTTCAGAGAGAAGCTTGTCTTCTTGCCTTCTTTATTTGGAACTTCCACTACCCAGAGACCTTTTTTCTCCAGGCAACATGAAACACAGCCCTTTTACACAAAGGGTTGCATACAATTAAAGTCCAACAGAAAACATAATTATTTTCACTGCCCGCTTAAATCGGATGTTGGTGAGCTTCCAACAAGTTTTCCGGTTACTTCCTACAGTGTATTGGCCCAAGAAGAGACTAAATTTAAGAACAGTTTAGAAGCTTCCAAACACTATCTTGAGAATGCTACTGGTGACCAGTGTTCATTCCTGTCTTCACTGGAGAGTGCTGCAAAAGATTATGTTGGACAGCAGCACATTACACCTCTTAGTCTTCTTCACCCCTTGGCAACTGTGGAGCAAAAACTGAACAGAAGAAAAAGAATCAGATTAAACAGTTTGAGGAGAAAACAAAGTTGGAAAGAGAGGTGGCGGCAGAAGCAGGTATGTGTTGAGGGGGGGGGGGGGAAGAGATTGTCTTGTGTGATAAAACTGTGATTACCAAAGGGAGTTTTAGTGTTACATGAAATCAACGAACGTTTCTCAAGTTTCTGTGACTACTGTGAAAAACTGATACTACTGTGGAGAATTTGACATGGTGCCCCATATTTCCCCCTCTTTGTTATGTTGTTGTATAGAAATTACTGACAGCTAAACATCTAAACGTATGTGCACTCTTGTTGATAAATATTTGTGGAAGATAGCAGAATGAATGTGATGCAGAAAATGAATCGCACAAAACTCAGTTTCAGCAGACACAGTCTGGATCTGATCCTTCGAAACAGAGAGTGCCTGAGAATCAGCATGGTGTAGTGGCTAGAGTATCAAACTAGGATCTGGGAGACCCTGGTTCAGATTCCCACTCTGTCATGTTACTGATTGACTTTGAGCCTGTCACTTTCTCTCAGCCCTACCCTGCCTCACAAGATGGTTGTTGTTGTGAGGATAAAATGAAGGATAGAAGAACAGTGTTGGAAGCTGTGCTAACTGTAGTTTGGAAACCTACTCATGGTTTTACCTTGTGTATGTACATGGTTTATGAGTGTGCTTTTGTTTTATGTGTACCTGATGTTCCTGTTTTTATGGTACAATGGATTGCTGAGATGGAGTTACAGTTGTAATTGTGGTATGTTAGTTCAGGTGTGGCAGACTGTGCTGTAAAAACCCATAAGTTCTGTGTGAATATGTGAAGGACTGTGAAGGGTTAATGCCTCATGGAGCCAGACAACCTTCAGTGACAGGCTGCTCGAAGGGATTTGATTGGTTAGCATCAATTGAGCACTGCCATTTGGGTCAGAAAAAAGGATAGATCTTCTAGTTAGAGAAGTGAGTCTCTGCCCAATTGGAAAGGGAGATAGTGAAGTGATCCCTGGTGTGTTTAGAGAAGGAATTTGAGAACTTGGTAGTGTATCCCTGCCTTCTGAACTGAACTGAACTGAAGAGTCAGTTAACTCAAGAAAGTGGAGTGTTTAGGAAACACTGAAACAAAAGCTTCTCATCTCTATGATTGAGAAGCTTGTCTTCTTGCCTTCTTTATTTGGAACTTCCACTACCCAGATATATATCACACACTACCCATATAATGAATGACTTTGTGAAAAGCTTTAAACTCTCACTTGCTGAAAACATATGAATGCAAAATTACTAAGTTACCTCAGAGTTCATTATTGATTTACCTCTGACATTTTACCCCTAATTTCACCTGAGCTTTCCTCCTCTACGTTGAATAAAATATCTTTTTTTAAGTTTTGAATGTTCTAAAGCTAAAGAATGTGCTATTTTCAGAAGTTTAAGAGGTGATCTTGTCTCTTCCTTCAAGTTCCTGCGCTGCACCAGCAGCAAAATGCAATTAGGTGAAAGGGTGAGACAGCCATAGATCTTCAGAAAAGAAGAAAATAGATAAAGGGACTGCTCAGCCAGAGAGGAAGGAAAAAACAGTGGGAAAATCCTGCATGTGAGAGAGGGAATGGGGCTAGGTCACCATGCATGGTTGGCAGATTCACTTCACATTAAGGTTTCTTGTTTTTTGTCAGTTCAAATGTGATTCAAATGCATAATTAAGATTCTGTTATTATGGTTTGATATGATATCTAAAGAACCATTGGCTAGAGTACCCTTTCCACTGTCATGTGACACACTGGTAGACCTTACTAGAATGTAAAAATGAGCAAGACCCCTTAAGGGAGCCCCCAAACTGGGGGATGTGGGCATGTGGGCACAGCCTCCCCCAAAAGGATCTGTTTCAATGCCTAAACCACCTATTAAGATGTGACAAAGTTAAAACATCAAATACTGAATGCAGCGCATAACAACCACTATGTAGGGAGGGTGTGAGGGAAAAGCCGCAGCCAACTGAAGACAAGGCCCAGCAGCAGCCACCTTAGGTAGGAAGGGGGTGGCCTGTAGCAAAACCTCTGACTCTGAGCCCCAGGGCTCCACCTCCCCATTGACCCTCCCAGAGCAGGTGTGATTGGCTCCATCCAGGCTGCCATCCAGGCTGCAGCTGGATCGCAGCTGGCCAATCTTTCTCCATTCGCCAGTCCAGGGCTGCAAAAGGAGGCTGACAGGTGAGTCAGCACCATGACAAATGGCTGTTAGGACAGTCTTTGCTAAATATGTATATAGGCGCACCATTGCATTATATGCAATTGACTAATTGTTTTCTAAGATGCTTTCCTCTGGGAAATATAATGAATGACCCAGGACATTCACAGATTCTGACCCAACTACCCAGAAGTTATTCCCAAAATCAAAGTTTCCGAAAAATAAGCTTCTGTAACATTTGGCTTCTGCTGGCCATTCAGATCAGAATTACAAACCACTGACGTTATGGAGAAAATAGCATTGTGCAAGGAAAGGACGAGAAGGGAGCATGTGAATCTGAACCACAGTCATGGTGTGGTTGTTACATATTATGAAAAGACCTGCCTCACCAATCTTTTGGAGTTCTTTTAGAAGGTTAACATGCATTTCAGTAAGAGTGTGCCAGTAGACATTACCTGATATTTCCAAAAGACTTTTGACAAGCTACCTTTCCAGAAGACTCCCGAGTAAGCTGTACAGTTATGGGATAACAGGGTGTGCCTTTCTATGGATTAAATAACAAGCAACAGAAAGGAGAAATAAATGGCCAGTTCTTGCAACAGAGGAAAGTAAACAGTAGGGGTCACACAAGGATTGTTATTTAGACTGGTTCTTTTTAATTTATTTGCAAATGATCTGGAATTGGGGTGAGCTTTGTAATGGCCAACTTTGCAGATGGTATCCAATTACTCAAGATGTTAAAAACCATATTGTGAAGAGCTTCCTGGAATGTTAAGCTTTCTGGGATGAGTCAAATTGTTTACATCCTTTCCAGTCTGGTTTTAGGCTTGGTTGTAGGACTGAAACAGCCTTGGTCACCCTGGTGGATAAACTGAGCTAGGAGATGAACAGAAGGAGTATGACTCTGTTGATTCTTCTGGACCTCTCAGCAGCTTTCAGTACCATTGACCATGGTATTCTTCTGGACTGTCTTTCCAGTGGGATTGGGAGGTACCATTTTATGGTCCTACTGGGTGGGTAGGTTTCAGAAGGTGATGCTGGGGGACTGCTGCTTAGCCCCCTTGGCAGATGACACAGCTCTGTCTTGCACTTCCAGCTGATCCCAGGGAGGGTATAGAAATCTTGAGGGCAGTTTTTGGAGTGGATGCAGGCTAATAAACTGAAGCTTAATCCCAGTAAAATGGTGCGATGGCCCCCGTCCACTTCCCTCCCTCAGAGGAAAGATTTTCCCTCCATTTTCCTTCCCTTTTACAGACTGCACCGCCCTAGTAATGTATTTTCTTCTTTGCTGAAGAAATCTGGCTGTCCCACCCTGTCACATAGTATGATATTTTGGCTGTAACTTAAAACAACTTAAATGGCACTTGAGGCATTTTGAGATTAAAAAATAAACAATATTTTATTTAACATAGAGGGGGAAAGTCAGGTGAAATTAGGGTTGAATTTTTTCCCAGTGTTTTCCAAAACACTCTAGTATACTTTCTTTGGGTATTCTCTAACTCTTTTGGTTTCCAGAGAGCTAGTGACACCCTTTCCAGTACCCAAAGCCCTTTTCTTGAAACACCAGTACTCTTGAGTTTTTAACTGACTCTTAAGGTCTCTAAAGGCACTTTTGAACCACACCAGATCAGGAATCTGCTAATTCCCTCTTTGACTGGGTAGGGAAATTTTCCACTCACTAGAAGATATACCCCCTTTCCTTGGCGGCCCTAATGGGATTCTTCACCTACTTCCCAAACTTCCTTGCCAACTTTCTCCTAGTTCTCCTGTCTGCATTAAAGTGCTCTCAGTCAGTGCACAAACTGTCAGTTCTTGGCTCTTGTCAGCTAGGGCTGAAATCAGACTGAATTCTCAGCATCCAGTTCAGAAGTCTTTCTCTGCTCAGCTGATGCTAACCAATCAGATCTCTTGGAACAGCCTCACTCAAGGTTCTCTGGCTGTGAAGAATTAACCCTTCACAGTCCTTCAACTGTTGGTACAGCACTTCTAAGCTTTTTAAAAGTGCAGTCCGTTACAGATTATAATGCTCCTGGTGAGTGGAAGGTCTGACCCAGGATTTAAGGTTCACTTGTTCTGGATGGGGTTGTACTCCCCTTGAAGGTACAGATCCATAGTCTGGAGGTGCTCTTAGACTCAGGTTTACTATTGGATAAGTGGGTGGTAGTTATCACCAGGAATAGCTTTTACGAGCTTTGACTGGTTACCCTTTCCTGGGCAGAAAAGATCTGGCCACTGTGGTACATGGTCACATCTAATGTGTACCAAGCCTAGTTCTCTGTCAGCTCCTTTTCTTTTGTCCCCATTCTGCAAATCCTTCTGTGCCAAAATATTGTTACTAGTTGTACAGTTGTACAATGCCTAATCCAACCCAGTCCTGGTTTAGGGGTATTTGTCTATACTCAACTGCATATTTGGTACAATACTTTTATGAAATAAGAGATCAACCTTTTCAAATAATAGTTGGTTTTTATTTTTATTTTTATTAAACTATGGGGAAATGGGACAGAAAAGGAGACAAAAGTCACAGCGGTTCTCTTATTTAGCAGCTATTATTTCTCAGAGGCAGTTCTTAAAGGCATTTTCCTTGTCTCAAAGGGCACTATATATTATCAAAAGATAAGTATATCTTACCTCATGTTTTAATTGAATTTTAACCCACTCTTCATTGTTTTCAATAGAACCCCCCTGTGTATGGATTGTACTACTCCTAAGGAAGAGAGATTTGGGTCTTGAGGAAAAGAGTGAAAGAAAAGAGCTATATTTGTAACAGCTTATGGTTGATGGAAGGAAGGGGTTGAGAATGAATGAGTCTGAAGGGCGAGTTATAATAAAACTCTCCTAAGGAACACTGAATTGAGATATTAAGGAAAGGATAAAGAGAAACAGAGAAAGAGGAGGAA